AATTATTTAAATGACATGTAAGATTGTAAAAAAAAAGTGATAAAAAAGGTTGTTCTTAAATTATTATTATTATTATTATTTTTTTTTTGCATCCAAGTGGACAAACCAAGTGCCAAATCCCTTGCCACATAGGGATGACATGGCCATGTTTCACCACACAAGGTATTCCTCTCACGACAATTAGGTTGGTTGTGAGAGTAAGGGCTAAATTGCTTCAATTGCAGAGTTCAAGGGTTTATATGCATCAATGAAAGTTTAGGGGTTTAATAGTGATCTAGGGTTAGTTAGGGGCTTAACTTATGCTTTTGCCATTTGAGTTTGGAAAGAAGAGTATGGAAATGTTTAGAAAAGTGAGCTTTAGTGAATAAATTTTCTTGGCGAATCAATTGAGCCAATGGAAAACAGATAGGTAGTCTCCCATGCAACATGATGCAAACAAAATGATAGTTAACTTCAATATATTCAGTACATTCATGAAAGATATTATTATATATTATTTGGATGAAAATATGATTATCACAATAAATTTTGGTAACCAATGGTTGTAAAGCACACATATCCTAAAGTAGCTAACATAAATTAATTAATTCTGATGTGGTGTTTACAAGTGCTTAATATTTGGCTTTTGTTGTAGAACAAGAAGGAATTGTCTATTTCTTATTATGTCAAGAGACCAAAAAAGTGTTATTCTTGATTTTAATTGATTCAAAATAAATGTAAATATAAAATCTATTTTTATTTTAACCATCTTAATTTAACTGGTTTTTTTTTTTAAACTAAAATTAGGTGTCTTAAATTTTGAATTATATATTCAATGAGTTTCTTTTTTCATGTGATGTCATAGTAGCTAAGAAATTCAAATTTTAAGTCCAGTTATGTAGACTTTCAAATGGTTCCGACCCTAAAACCAGTTAATAGAACTCTCAATGCTATTAACTCGTGAAATTGGAATTGTCCAATTTCAGGTGTTGATACCTTACACCAGGGTGCAAAACCTTAAAACCAACTATTCCATTGATTTTGTGGAAGGTCCAACCCATACATTTGAGGTTAAAATACCATTTTGGCCTCTCAACTTTTTAGATTAGTACTAAAATTGTCCTTAAATTTCAAAAAGCACCAAAATTATCCCTAAACTTTCATTTTTTGTACAAATTTCATCCTTTCGTTAGTTAAGTGCTGATATGGCGAGTTTTTCCGTTAAGTAATTCAGTTTTTTCAATATTTAATATATATTATGTGGAAATTACTAGGGTGATTTGGCATTTTTTAATTCATGTGGTAATATTTGAATTAAATGACATGAACCTAATATAATTATTAAATAAAAAATTTAAATTTCCTTTAATGTCCCTAGTTATCTTTTTCCCCAACCTTTAGAATTCATTTCTCTTGATTTATTGTTTCTCTTTTCTTTCTTCATCTTCACCTTCCAGCTCTCCCATTGCACACACCTCTTTCCTTACTCTCACTCATTCCTGAAATATTTGTTAAGGATGCCTAATGCCCTTAATTAGATTTTGGTTTGGTTTTCATCTTCATCAACCTTTCTCACTTTCCTCTTTCTTCTTCTTCTTCTTCTTCTCACTCTTCCCTCTTTCTCTTCTTTTTTGTTTTTTCCTTTTTTGTTGAGAGCCGTCCCAAGAGAACTCAATCTAGATTCATAACCCAATAGGATTGAACTCAATTTGGGTTTAAGAGGGAGAAACTGATTTAGGTTTTTGAAACCCAAAAGGTAGCTTCCGATGTACCACTTTCCTTTTTTTTTTTTTTTTGTTTCTTAATTTTCTTTCTTAATTAACATAAATCACCAAACATTGAGTTTGATTATGTCTTTGGTGGAATGAGAAGAAAAGGGTGAATTGTTTGGTGAAAGTGATTTGTTGGGGGAAGACAAATTAAGGTTGATTTTTCTCATTTTATTGAAGGGTTCTTATATTTTAATCTAATTTGATTTCATTTTTAAGGGGTTCCTTTCTCCTGTAATAAAGGTTCTTCAATTGATTTTGAGTATGAAAAAAATAGAGGCCAAATCTCGTTTCTTCATATTGGAATCTAGTTTGCTTGCTTCCACAAAGAACACTATCATTTTTGAGGAACTCAATCGAAACTGATAAAAAGGGAAATCAAATTTTCATGTGGGTCCCACTAAAAGGGGAGGCTTAATACAGTGGCAATTTGATTTGTAAAAATTAACACACCACAGTGGCAAAATTTTCGTCTTTGGATTTACATGTCATTAACATTCAAAAAATTAAGTGATTTAGTGGCAAGATAACAGGCCACGTGGAGATTTTGTTAACAGAAGGACCATCTTAGTACCAAAAATGAAAGTTCAGGGATAATTTTGGTACTTTTTGAAGTTCAACAATAATTTTGATACCAAAATGAAAGGTTTAGGGACCCAAATGATATTTTAAGCTACATCCAAGTTCCAACCTCTAAGTATGGACTTCAAATTGACTTTCCAAAATCAAAATCAAAGCAAATCTTTTTGTTTTAGGCTACAACAATCATAAATTGTTGACGGAGCAAAATTGAAGAATAAAAGAAGATCTAGAGTCATGCTAAAAGCCAACTACCTTTATGCACTCTAACATGAAAAGAAATGAGATTATAAACTTTTATCTTTTTCTTTTTTGAAACCAACAAGAATTTTGATCTTTTAGTGATCATTCTCATTGTCTTTCATTGTAATAAGTAAGAGAGGGATTGAAGAAACGTTGTTAGATCTAAATAATCATCTTTAAGATATAGAAAGGGTTGAAAGGTTTGTAATAAGAGAATTGAATAGTTGATAGCACTTGAAAGTTATTGTAATTGGTACTAACACTCGTTGAAAATAGTGTTAGTGGATTCAAATTTTAATTGTAGGAAATTGGATGTAGGCACCATAGAAATTAGAGTATTATTATTATTATTATTATTATTATTATTATCTAGGAGTTGGTCCAATTAGTGTGAAGGAATTGAATATTCTTGAGTTGGAAATAGTAAAACTTCTAAAATCTTTGAATCTTAAAGGAGATACAAAATCTGAAAAATAACACCATTGTGATGAAGTTTAAGTTCATGAGTATTCTATTCTACTTGAGCACAAGTTTGTAGTGAGAAGTTTAGAGAGAAGACTTAGTAGCACCTAACAAGCACATAAAAAAAAAAGAAAAGAAAAGAAAAGACAAGAAAAAGAAGAAAAAGAAGCCAACACACAAAAAAGTTTGTTAATTTCTACTCCAATGTTTGTAGTTGCTTAGTAACTGAGGGTTAGGCATGAGACTCATGTCAACTTTCACGTCAAACAGTGACTTGAAATATGAGTATGCAAAGCACTTTGAATTTATGACTTGTTGAGTAACCGGGTGCTTTCATCACAAATGTTAGTATTCGCGTCAAAAGACAAGTGATGGCTTAGGGAAAAGTGTGTTGTATGGCTAAAAAAACCGACAAAAGAGAGAGAGAGAGAGAGAGAGAGAGAGAGAGAGAGAGAGAGAAGTCAAATGTTTCATGGCCTTTGTTACTTGAGTCAGTATATTCTTAGGGGTGTCTCTTTACCTAATGCCCTAAAGCTAATTGGTTTGGGATTCATTGATAGAAAAGTCATTACATGGGTAACTTAGAAAGCCTAAGAAAACTCGAGATACCAAAAATAAAAAAAAAGGGAGGGGAGAAAAAGAAAAAATAATAATAATAAGTGCTGAAGTGCCTAAGAAAACTCAAGACTTTTTACTATAAATTTTCACACACACACACACTAAGTGCTCATGAGTTAAATCTTTTGATAAGTGGTGGGAAGAATAGGATGGAGTATTTGACTTTAGGTGAGTGTATGAGAACTCTTGAATGTTTGAAACTTTGTATCTAATTGAACTTTAATTCCTAAATTTTCTTTGTATGCCTATCATATAGTTGCATTCTTGCATTGGGATTTTGTGGCTAGATTTATTGAAAAGCCTCACAAGACACAACTCACCCACTAGGATAACCTAGGGGTTTAAAGGCTTGTTGCACATACTAAGTGCAATCGTGATTATTATGAAAGTGAGTTAGGTTTTATTTTCTTTTTGTTTATTTGTTTTTTTTCTTTTTTATTTTACTCAAGTATGAGTAAAACTTAAGTTTGGAGGAATTTGATGAGTTGAATTTATATAGATATTAATGTAGAATTTTTTTCTTGATATTATTGATATTTGGATGAGTTTTATGGGATTTTACTTGATTTTACATAATTTTATTTTTTGTATAGAAAAGGACTTAATTGAAGAAAATTATAATTTTTAGGATCAAATTGTAGAGATCAAAAAGTTGAGGATTAAGTTGTGTAGAATCTAGAAGTTAAGGACTAGGATTGTTATTTTACCATTAACAAAAATTGCTTGGAAGGCCAAAAACCTAACACGTTGAATGAGTGCGTGCTTAACAGAAGGTGTCGCACCTTACGTGATTTTCAAAATTCGTGGCTAATTTATTATTTTAAGTGTGGGTTCCACTTTTATTCTAATTAGGGTTTCTAAAATCCTATAAATATTCATCCAACCTTCAAATTTAGGGAGCTTTCGAGGAGAGCTTTTGAGGCCGGTGGCAGCTCTTTTTTGGGCATTATTAAAGATCAAGATAAAAAATTCATCAACAATAGAAAATCAAAAAGTTCAAGTTCCTTAAATTAGGTTTTGTTTTTTCTTAGATTCTTTTTATCTATTATTTGATATTCGAATGTTTATAATTATAATTTTAGATTTTATTATTTTTATTATGAGCTAATTTATTCTACTAGGGCTACAATGTAACTTAATCAATTCATTATAGATTTTGTGATTTTATGCTTTCAATTAAAGTTACTTGCATGATGAGTTAATATTATTGAACTTAATGCATTGGAAGCCTGATCACCTTTTAATTGATTTAGTGATTTATGTATGAACTTGAGAAATAATTGCGTAAATTAGACCAATAAAATTATAAACCATGTGTTAGACTATGAAACCGAGAAGTAATTAGCTCACATGTGGTAGTAGAATAAGAGAAGAGAGTTAGGAGCTCCCCTTTCTTAAGCCAGAGGTTCCAACAGAATTTAATTGTCATGCCCCAGAACCCAAATCTGGGGACGTGGCAGACGCCGTACACTTGTGAGAGGGTCCCACAAATGCACAAGGCTCAGAACTTTATCATACCATAATCTGATGCCACAAAATCTGAAGATAAAATTATAAAATTTGCTCTAATATCATAAAATCTCCAAATAAAGCCTAGCTTACAAGATCATGATTTATATCTAAAATCTATGTT